CCTCCTTCTCTTCCGCCCCCCCCTCTGCCTCCCCCTGCCCTGCCTCCCCCTCCTCTCCCTCCGTGACTGAGAGACCTTCGTTCATATGAATCTGTTCTGATCTCCATGATGGACGCTGGTTCATACTGTGTGTACTGTATATACTGTGTGTACTGTATATACTGTGTGTACTGTATATACTGTGTGTACTGTATATACTGTATATACTGTGTGTACTGTGTGTACTGTGTGTACTGTATATACTGTGTGTACTGTGTGGACTGTGTGTACTGTGTGTACTGTGTGTACTGTGTTCCCTCTGCTGCTGACATTTATGTTGGGATTCAAACCAACCCTGTTAATGACTGTGTGAGGTGCGTTCACTGACATGAGTTCAGTCTTTCATACATTCATGCATGAGTGACCTTTGACTGACACTTGTCTCTGCAGGACTCACCGTCCAATCATCTGTTCCGTGTCAGCTCACACCAGAAAACCTGGCTGTAAAACAAACCAGGAGTTAGAGAGAGAGAGAGAGAGAGTGAGGGAGAGACTGGACCAACAGCTGACCGTCCGTCTGGTCAGACGGTGACTCAGGTACACATGGTCATCCCTGACTCCCTCACCCGTCCACACGCCGTCTCCAGTTAGAGACATACAGCAGCTGATTTTCTCTGGTCAGAGACCGTCCCCTCACTGCTGCCCCCTGCTGACTGATGATGGGTTAAAAGCAGAGGTCACATTCTGTTGTGTGCAGTGTCAAAATGACAAGAAAAAATGACAAGAAGTTCGCTTTCCCTCCTTCCTTCCTCCCTTCATCCCTTTCTTCCTTCTTTCCTTCTTTCCTTCCTCCCTTCCTTCCTTCCTCCCTTCATCCCTTTCTTACTTCTTTCCTTCTTTCCTTCCTTCCTTCCTGCCTTCCTTCCTTCCTTCTCTCCTTCCTTCCTTCCTTCCCTCCTTCCCTCCTTCCTTCCTTCCTTCTGTCCTTCCTTCCTTCCTTTCTTCCTTCCTTCCTTCATCCCTTCCTTCCTTCTTTCCTTTCTTCCTTCCTTCCCTCCCTCCTTCCTTCCCTCCTGCCTTCCTTCTTTCCTTCCTCCCTTCCTTCCTTCTTTCCTTCCTTCTTTCCTTTCTTCCTTCCTTCCTTCATTCCTTCCTTCCTTCCTTCCTTTTCTCTCAAACATTAAAACATGAAGGACTGAAGTCCAGGTTTCAGGTGAAGTCTCTGAACGACGTCTCTGAATTCTACTTAACACACGCACACACACAGATACACACATACGCACAGTGAGTCAGTCACTGCCACCTGTCAGCTCTGACTCAGTGACGCCTCCTCATGGTCAACAGCAGGATAATGAGACCTTGTCCATGAACCTGGTTCTGGTTCCTGTGATCAGATGTTTGAAGAATCCTGAAGATGAAGATGATGAAGATGATGAAGATGGAAGTCAGTCTGACTGAGGATCAGAGAACATCATCATCATCATCGTTGTCGTCATGACGACGGTGTCTGTAGCTGATGTCAGTCTGAAGACGGTCAGAGATCAGTAAAGCTGAGATTTAAGAATGTTCTCTGATGTTCTTCCCGAACAAGAGTTAGTTAGACTGGTTAGTTAGACTGGTTAGTTAGTTAGACTGGTTAGTTAGAATGGTTAGTTAGACTGGTTAGTTAGTTAGACTGGTTAGTTAGAATGGTTAGTTAAAATATCAACTTTGATTGTTTTTGTGAAATTTTGTTCAAATAACAACATTATAATCTTCAAGTTTCTGGACCAGGAGGTTTAGATTAAAACAACACGGTTCTGCTGGAGAAGCTTCTGAACCTGAAGTTCCATCAATCATGGGAGGAAGGTGAGTCACATGACCAGAGGCTGGGAGGCAGTGTGGGGTGTGTGGGGGGTGAGATGGGGGCGGGGGTGGAGGCCTTCACACAGAGAAAGTGTGTTCCTTAGAAACAGGCTGAAGAACCCTCCAGGTTCTCTGGTGTTTATTTAAGGAAACAGCTGGTCATGTGACTGCAGCTGGAACCAAGATGACCACAGAAGTCCCACATGTTCCTGCTGCTGTGAAGGCAGGGGGCGCTGATGGACCACGATGGACGTGGTACCATGGAGATCCAGGCCATAGCAACCGCTCACCACAGAGTAGATCTACAGCCGTGGTTCAGGAACAAAAGAGCCCTGCTGTGAGAGAGGAGGGCACTTAATGTAGTGGAACCAGGGGTTGGACCACAGTCCAATTAAAGTTTATAAACCACTCACATCCAACAGCACACGGAAATGTAATCGGTGACCGGTACTGTATGGTGGTTAAAAAGGTCGCTGTGTTAAGAGAAGATCACTTTTTTTCTCCTTTTTTTGAAATGCTAGAAGATCACTTTTTTTCTCCTTTTTTTAAATGAAAATATGACTAAGACCATTAGTTTAAGTGGGTGAGGATAAGTGGGTGAGTGTGTGGTTTGCAGATACAGGTTAAGTGTAATCTGACCTCATGTTCCTCTTTACATCAGATTAGTGTCGTTCAGTCGAACAGAGAAGAGTCACACGATGATGATGTCACAAAATCAAGTCGAGTCGACCAGAAGCACAAACACAAACACAGTCTCACACACATGCCAACAAAATCATAGAACATCTCACACACATCCAATACACACACACACTCAGTTACAGCCCCCCCCCTTCCACCGCCTTTATTTTGACAATATTTTAAACCTTATCATCAAACTTTCGGCACTTTCCAGGACTTCAAGGACAGGTTTGAGTCACGATGTTTTACTCTTTGTCTGAGTCAAATGTTCGAGAACGAAAATCTCAGAAACTGAAGCTTCAAAAACATTTCCACACAGTTTGATGACTCAGACCGACTCTGAAAGAAGGTTCAGGAAAAAAGAAGGTGAATGAGGTAAAACGTCAGAGTGACGACAAAGAAACAACGCCACCTGGAGTCAAGGACCACGGAGAGAAACTTTAACGTTTCACACACACACACACACACACACTTGTCTTCAGTGTCTCAGAAGTTCTGTCTTTATTTCCCATGCATAGTTTGGACAGGAGTTCAGTGAAGGTAAAAAAAAAACAATAATAAAAACAAAAATAAAAATTTGACTCATTTTGATTTTTTTATCAGAGAAAAATGAACAAAAAAAGTCTGAAAATCAGAGAATTCTTCAATGATGAGGGTGAGGGTGGGGGGGTGTGGGCCGGCAGTCCAACATAAATATGAAAAAAACAAATTCACATTCTTTACAAACAGTGCAAATAAGAAATTATTTGGGGTTTTTTCTCAATCTGTGTTTCGTTCGTCAACTGTCCACCTGTCAATCATGTCTCCTCTCCGTCCCACTGACAGACGGAGATCAGGGATTACAATAAAGTTCCAGTTTGAGGGGAAAATACGAAAAAAAAGAAAAAGAATTGCTTATGAAAAAAAACAAAAACGATTGACAAACGACGACAACAACAATTGGACCAATGCTGGCTCCTGAAAACTGCCCCCACCAACAGATGTCACTGTCACACAGAGGCGTAAGCGTTATCAGTAAGTGATTTCATCGACAAGCGACCATGTGACAAACACTGAGGTTAGCTATGCTAACAATTGTTGCCTGACTACAGCGAAATAAAATAAAAAATTAGCACTTAATCCCAATCAAGGAATCACAGAAAAACGCATTAAATTTTAAGTCCACGTCAAATATTGAGGTTTTTTGTGAGTTGATTTTTGAAGCGATTAAATATCGTCTATTTTATTGCGAGGTCTAAATAATTGAAATTCTTATCTCGATGTTGACTAAAATACATTTTTCACTACATTTACTTGTAACAACCTTAAAAGGCTATGTATAACGTATGACGGGTCTATAGTGTTCCCTGCCCCCTGGTGGCCACTGTTGTAATTGCTAGGCAAGAACGCTTGACAACAAAAAAATTTGAGCTGTAAAATAAGCCAGAGAAACACAATAACTCAACAAGTAGCAAAAGTCGCAAAGTTGTCATTGGTAAAATAAAAATCAAAAACCATCCAGCGACAAAGATCGCTCAAGGACAGTACCATTTGGAAGTACTTTCCATGACGTTGCGAGAGCAAACGTAGCACACGGCCATATTTAAAGGGACCTGTGTTTCTGCATTATCACCACAGGGGGGCCGAAGAGGGCGGGGATTCTGCTTATTTGTTTGTTCCATTCTTGGGAAAAATATTCCAGTTGGACGTTGAACTAAAAAAAAAAAACGTTGCAGTTCGAACCGACACCGAACTGCACCTTTAAAAGCAGCATGGGAAAAAACTTAGCATAAACAAGTGTCACCGCAAGCTACAGGAAGTGGTTGTGACACGTGTGCTAACCTTTTCTGGACAAGGTTTTTTTAAACATGTGACTTGTGTTAAAATCCTGCATTGCCTTCATCGCCGGAGGAAAGTACAATCATTGTGCACGCAGTTAGCTAACGAGAGAACGCCGAGGAAACAAAGTTTCAATCCAAACCTGAAGAAAGGTAAGGAAGAAAGGTAAGTGTGTGTGTCTGTGTGTGTGTGTGTGTGTGTGTGTGTCAGCCCACGGTGATGGTAGTTCCCAATGATGTAACATAATTTTAACCAATCAGTTTAGTGTCATGAGATGGTGTTGAACCAGAGAGCACCCTGGGAAATCATCAGAATTTAAATTAAAAAACGTTAGAGCACGTTGACCTCAGGGGTCACGTGATCTGTGTCGGAAGACTACAAAGAATTCCAGTGCTGAAATGTAGATTTTTAAGGTGGCTATTGAAAAACTTTCATTTGGTTAATTCAAAATATTTGCGTTCACGCTGACAATTACTGCGTGACAAATGTGTCCACGTCGTTGATTTGTTCTGACGTCGAGGTGTCTTTGAGACATTTCACGAGAAAAAATTGATTGACACTTTTTGTGTTTTGTAATTTCTAACCACCAGGTGGCGCTGCATCATTTTCTACTCTCTTTGACAACACCATAGGAGGAAATGGATGAAATGGCGTGAAATAAAGACAACAGATAAAACAGAGTGATGCTAACAGCGAGGTTCAGTGTGGTCCACGTGAAAGGAAAATTTACGCTTCAAAACAAACGGCCTACGCCGCCACCTTCTGACAGTATGAAAAACAGACAAATAAAAAACAAACATGCTCCAACACTCGTAGGTAGTTTTCTGTTGACATGAAATCAGTGAGGACTAACGATAAATATTTCACATTTTTTACTTACAAGTCTCCCTAACGTTTTCAAAGTAAAATAGTACAAAAGAAAAAATCGTCCATTTTGAAATATTCTCCTTCAGTTATTAGTAACATGGCGAAAACATACGACTGTTTTCAGCTTCAGCTTCTATAGAGAGAAAAAAAGAGCCAGTGTTGAAACCAAAAGCATTATAGAATTATTTTTTACACATCATCACATCATCAGCGTAGCATCTGCACAGATGGTTAAAATTTAAAGAAAAAAAACTCAAAACAATTAACAGTAATCCCGGTCTTTCCGTATGACAAAAATGACGGAACGCGACCGTAGACTCATTAAAATGATAGTTTTTGAACAATCACTAACAAATAGCGCCCCCAACCGTCAGAATCTATGTACTATCTATGTTGTGTATCATCAACATCAGAGACATTTTATCATCTCATTACCCAACACACTGTGAAGCCTGGGATAAAGATGACAGGGGGCAGCAATGAGGCATAGTGTGAACTGCAAACTTTGACCCATAGGAGGCGCAACATCGGATCCAAAACATAAGGGTTCATAAGACCAGCTGCAGATCCTGCTTCAGGAAGCCCAGGCCCCGCCCTACGTCAAGTAACAGTCGCTCATTGTCATTGGCAGGTGTGCTAGCCATGGGTACGACGCTGCCGCACGAAGGGAACAACAACGGCAGTCGGTTCTCAGACCACAGGGAGGGGCACCCTCCAATCAGGAAGATTTAAAGGAAAGAGAGCGAGAGAGAGCCGACCGCGGAGCAGGAACAGAACGCCCTGGGCTCACTTGACGTGTTCGGCGCTGTGGGAGGAGCAGTAGTACTTCTTGTGTGCGATGAAGGTGGACAAGCTGCTGAATTTGATGTTGCACAGCCGGCAGAAGCGCGAGTTACCGTTCTGGATGGGTGAGATCACTGCTGTTTTAACGCCGACGACTGGGGCAGGGCTGGACACAGGGGCGGGGGCGGTCGTGGTGGCCTTCTCTGAGAAGTGGAACGACCCCACCGTCTGTCTTAGGACCTCAGGCACAGGTGACACCGGTGGAGCCCCGGAGGGTGAGATCGACAGAGGCGAGGTGGCGGATGGTGAATCACCTCCAGATGAGGGAGTGCTTTTGACCGTTGGAGAGACAGGAGAAGACGTCCTGCTCTTTAGCTGTCCGTTGACGTCCTCTCTGTGGACCTTTGGTCGGACCTGGATGTTTGGGCTTTGGGAAACGCTTGCAGATCCAGGACCAGTGTCTCTGGGACTAGGGCTGGACTGCAGCAGCGCCTCTGGTGGTTGTTGGACTGTTACCAGAAGACTGTGGACCATCTTGAAGTGCTCCATTAGGTCACATGTGATTGGCTTGTTGGGGCAGTATGGACACACCCTTATTAGAGAAGCGGTACCTGAAACTGTGACTCCGGTTCCTGGTGCTGGTGCCTGGGTGGTGCTAACAGCAGAGTTATGAGGAGGAGTAGCGACAGAGGACGATGAAGCTGAGGGTTGAGGACTGGATGACGAGCCCCCGGACTGGGTCACCCACTCGGCTTTGGACTCCACTGGACGCTCCGGCTGCGGTCTACTTTTGGGCGAGGTGGATGCGGAGCGCTTCAGCCTGTGCAGCTGCTCCAGAGTGTGGTGCTGGAGCGTGGTGGCCGGGCAGTAGTAGGTCTTGTGGGCCAGGTAGTTCTCGAGGCTGTTGAAACTTATGCTGCAGGCGGTGCATTTGTGATAGTCGGTGAGAGGCAGGGCGGGGATTTGAACGCTGCTATTGGCTCCCTGCCGTGGACCTTCTTGCAGACGGGGTCTCTTACTGAGGTCAATCGGACCGTCTCCTTCAGGGCTGGAGCTGCCATCTGCGCCGGAAGCGACTTCCTGCTTTACCACCATACCAAGAATGGAGGGTGACGGAGCCGAGGCGGCGGAGGCGGCAGTGGCGGCAGCGGCGGCGGCTGCAGCGTTAGCTAAGGCCTCAGTCCTGGCCATGTGGATCTCGTACATCTTCTTGCGCTTGCGTGTGCGTATAGGCTGGGGGTGGAAGGCTGCAGCGGTGGTGGCCTTGGCCAGGTGAATGGCTCTCTGGTTGGACGGGTCGTGGCGTGAAGCGCAGTAGAAACGTTTGTGGACTGTGTAGTTTTCATGACGGCTAAAACGGATGTTACAGGCCTCGCAGAAAGTTCTGTTCGGATCGTCCTCCAGGTCCTCAGCTGAACCACTGGCAGGACTCTGGCTGCCCTCACTGGCCCTTCCTCCTCCACCTGCTCCTCCCGTACTCGCACTGCCAATCTCTCCTTCTGAAGATGACAGAATGCCCTCCCTGCCCACGGGGGGTTCCGTCTTCACCTCCACCCCTCTCCTCAGTTCTCCATTGGCACAGTCAGAATCAGGTGGAGAAGCTGAAGCTGCTCTGCTCGCTGGTCCACCCTGAGGTGACACAGAGGGACCTTGCGTCACCATGGACGGTGCTAAAGGTGTGGCTGCATCCCTGGTCAGCCCTGGGACTGAAGCTGAGGCTGCACAGTCTCCCTGGTGCCTGCTGGAACAGTACAGGCGCTTGTGTGCGTAGAAGTTGTTGATGTTGTTGAAAGTGATGTCGCACTCGAAGCAGGTGGCTCCTTTGTGAGGAGGTGTGGCTACGGCCGTGGATGTCATGGGACCAGCGGGGAAGAAGGCAGGGCTGCTCGGAGGAACCGCCTGACCTTGTTTCAGGCGGCTGTGCACCATCTCCGACATCTTAGCCAGGATTTCTGAGGCCTGGGGCAAAATTGCTGCCTCAGGGTTGAACAAGTACTGAGGCAGGAACACGGCTCCTCCAGGAAGAACCGACTCCAATCCTCCCACATGAGCAGGGCTGGAACCAGGAGTTGGACTAGTTGGTTCGGCCTTCACGGTTGAGGTAGGACTCTTAGGAGACCCTGACCGCTGACTGGACAGGGTGCTGGTTTGTCCCTCCGTGGTTCCCCTCACCCCTGAGTCAGCAGCTTCTCCCTCTTCTCGGTCCTCCTTCATGTCCATCGGCTGCTCCTGCATCTCCGAGTCTGACTGTGGTTCCTCCTTAACCTTCACAGCTGTGATGGGGCCAGGACTGTACTCCCGGGGCGTGGCCGAGCTGCCGTTAGCCCCTGGACTGGACGACTCTGGCTGAGGGGTGCAGGCGACTGGCTCACGATCGTGCGGAGACGGTTGGAGCTGGGCAGCGTCAACTAAGGCGGGGGTCATTTGACGTGGGGTGGAGCTCCTTTCGGCAGGAACCCTGACCTCTAGGTGGGACCGTACGTGCTGCTGGAGCTGAGCTGGGGACTCACAGTTGTGACCACACACTTGACACTTGAGCACGACGCCAGAGTCCCCTGGACTGAGACCTGAAAAAGACAACCAGGAGTCATGAGTGAGGAACCTCCACTGAGGAGGTCTCTGTCCATTTGGACAAAGGTTCCACGGTACATCTGTCCTTCAGATCTGGGCTGAAGTCCAGTCAACTTACCAGTGGACAGGGGAAGTTTGGGAAGTCCTGGTCCAGGTGAGTAGACCTCACTGCGAGATCCTGGCTGGCAGACCATGTGACTGGTGACCAGGTGACTGTAGAGGATGTCCCTGGTGGTGGACACGAATCCACAGCCGTGACACAGGCCGTTCAGTGTGTCTGTGTGCACCTTCAGGTGGCGCTCACAGTTGGCTTTAGTGGTAAAGGCCGACAGACAAATGAGACAGACGAATGGACGTTCACCTGTCGGAGAGGCGGAGCTAGATTACCACATGACCAAATATAGGGCTAGAAAATGGTAGTATATGTGTTAATGCAAAAGGAGAACATTTTGACCACTAGGGGCCTGATTTCACATGTCTTGTCTAAGTCCTAGTATCAGAACCCTACAGGTCAGGATTGGTACTCCATGGTGTCACAACCTAAAGGTCTCTGCAGTCTTAGTTCTTGTCCCCCAACAGTCTGAGTTCTACCTCTACCAGGAACTCTTTAATTCCCTAGTTCTTTCTCTTTAAAAGGAACAGTTCTGGAGTTAGTTTTTCTTTTTACCCAGAATCCCACTGGGTTTAAATAAGATCTCACCACTGTGTGTCCTCATGTGGATCTCCAGGGAGCTGGCACTGGGGCAGCTCTTGTTGCACTGTGGGAAGGGGCAGAGGCGTTCGTTGGGGTAGGACTCTTTGGGTTTGTCCTGAGATGATGGCGGCGGTGAGGAGGAGGAGGCGGCGGCGGCGGCGGCGGCGGGCTGCTTCTGACGGCTGGCACAGTAATACATGAGGTGAGCCTGGAGGTTCCTCTCGCTGCGGAACCAGATCCCACAGTCCTTACAGGGGAAGATGTCCTCTGGAGACAGACAGGAAGTTCAGCAGTCAGTGGACCAGAAGAAGACTGAACAGAAACACCGCAGATGTCCACACCGTGACCCCCGGAGTAACAGCCAATCAGACGGTGTCATTATTTCATCCTCCATCCAACCATCTGTACATCCATTCTATTTTCATCCATCAGTCTCTCAGCTCGTCGTCTTTTCTTCCCTCCGTCCTTTCATCAACACACACACACTCACACACACTCACACACACATTCTGGTCGGTGTATCCAGGCAACAGTTCGTCTGCAGGAATTAAAGACTTTTTCATTTAAACTTAATGTAATTATTTCTTTAACAGTGTCTGTGAACAAACCATAACATTCACTTCATCTGCGCATGTGTCGAAGCTGCTGAAACTGAGCAGAAGTGGCTTCATGGAGGCACAGTGCCATCCAGTGGACAGAATTACAATTACAATTACAATTACACCATCCAGTGGACAGAATTACAATTACAGGGATTACAGTGGGGAAATAAAGGTGAGATTTAGAAAAAAGTCATTTCATATGAACTAAATTAATGACGTCAAACAAAATCATCGATGACATTATCATGACGTCAACAACACTGGTCATCTGAACAATATAAACCAACTTTTATCATCAACAGGTTCACTTCAGTAAAAGGTTTAAAGTGTTCAAAAACAAACGCTCACTGTTGACGACGGCGGTGGCTAAGATGGCGGCCATGCCCGCCTGCTGGGGGAGGAGCTGGATGTCAGAGTGCAGCGCCGCAGGGTACGAGACCGGCTCATCCTTCACCACCACCTCCAGGCCGAGAGGAGGAGAGGGACGGGGCTGGGACGGAGAGGAGGGGGCGGAACGAGCAGCAGGGGGGGCAGACGAGTGCAGGGACGCCAACAGCCCCTCCCCCGCTCCGAGCTCCTGGGTTAGTTTACAGAAGAGCTGCTCACCTGGAAACAAACGACGGGAAATGTCAGCCACTCCAGAGCGGACGATTGTTTTACACCGGTGAAAAAAAAGAAAGGAAACGAAAACTCCGTACCTCGGCTGTAGATGGTACAGTTGGCTGCCAAGAGGTCAGAGGTCAAAGGAAGTTGACTGATCCAACAGTCTGAATCCTTACACACTACAGCCAACCTGGAATTCTGCAGAGACACAAACACGGGTGTGAGTGAGACAACGTGAAGATGAGCCGAGGTCGGGTTCCAGAACTGGAACTGGACCAAAGTCCAGAGAAAAAAAAACAAAACAAAACATCGATATCAGTTCACAGGAGCTGCTGGTCCTCTGCTGCCTCCTGTGGTCAGTTAGTGTCACTTGAGTAAATCTAATCAAAGGATTTCAAACAAAACGTGACGTTAGAACTCAGTGACGGAGGCAGCGTTGAACCAACAACAAAGTTCTGCTCAGATTCACTCTGGAGTCTCGGCCATGTTTTATTGCTGAGGCACACACAGCGCCCTCACCTGGTGAGGACACGTCACACAGACCCAGTGTCTTGTTCACATAAAATCAGGAACATAAAAGACCACAAGTCAAACAGAGCACGTGATTTTGTTCTTGGCATCTGAACAGCGAGTGTACGACAGTAACAATGACAAGAAACACACTGTCCAGTGAGTGTGTGTGTGTGTGAGGGTGTGTGTGTGTGAGAGTGTGTGTGTGTGTGAGAGTGTGAGACTGGCAGCAGCAGCAGACGAAGGATTATTACAATCTCTGATGGAAATGAGGAAATGAAGGAAGAAGAGGAAGGAATAAAGAGGGGGGAGGTGTGGAGGGGGGGGGGGAGGGAGGGAGGGCGGGGGGGGGGGAGGGGGGGGGGGGGGGGGTGAGAGAGAAAAAAGGAGAGGAGAAAGAAGATCTGATGAGGTCGACAGGCTGTTATTCA